CACACAGACTGTGACGCTGCGATGATACTTTCGCAGTGCCTTCGGTGGCAACTGTTCCGCCAGATGACAGCGTTGCTGAAATCATAATGATTCTTATGCAACATCACAGTCTCGCTGCGATATTTAACACGGGCCCAAGGCAGTGCCTTGAAAGTCGTTCCTTGCGTGAACTCCTCGCCACGCAGTGTCACTATTCATTGACAAGGGCGTTCGACATGACTGCCTGACGCAGTAAGTCTGCCTGCTCACTCGCGAATTTCCGTCAAAGGGCTTTCCGCCCAGTGGCCCGAAATTAGGCCGTCTAAAACAGTGCGGCAATACACATGGATTCTTTCCTTACTAAGATTCTCCACGTCTTCGCATTTCTCCAGCCCGCCTATGTTCAGCGATAGGAGCTCATCGACTGTCGGATCTATTGCGCAGAGGCACAGGACTGATGCCAGCAAAGCCGGACCCCCCGCCCGAGTTCTGTCACTGACGAAGCGGCGATCCAGGGAGCTCTACCCTCAAACTGCATCCTTAGCACGCATTGGTTCACGCCCACGTGGGTCGCACGAACTTCATGTGTCAAGGGATGCACGCTCGAGATGGGATGGTAGCTAGCCTAATATGACGAGGACATCACATACTTACTGCTCAAACACGCCCATTCTTGTGCGCGCCGGGCAAAATTTCCCGTAGCGAAGGATGTTTGACAGCCAACGGTCACAACAAAGAGATCTAAGCCGCAGGAAATGTTGTTACCATAAACTCCCTGATTTGCCTGGGGATCTGCGAGTTTTCTCGTTACCCTGCGAAGCGCACTGATGCCAACTCCAAGCTGGGTGGTGGGGGTGAGATACTCGCTGTCCAACGCTTATGCGTGCCAGGGTGGCCAAGGCATCCATTATACGGTCGTTTACATCGCATTCATGAGAAACGGACGGAGAATGTAATACTAAAAATAAAGATAGCTGAATTTGTGAATAAATGAATATTCTCGATTGTACATGGGAAACACCATCGAAGGCCCTGATCAGTTTGTACAACTGCAAGTTGTCGACTGTGAGGGCAATAGCTTGTATTCATGGCGTAAATTAGTATGCTTGCTTACTTAGATGGTGCCGTCATTTCGTTCGTGGCAGACTGAAATCTAAAGAGCGCTGTCAAGAATTCCTTTTTATGAACCCATGAAGGGTGGATTTCAGCTGTAACACACACCGATCGGAACCGTAACAGCCGAACAACACATGCATAACATTACATCGTGCTCCTAGCAGTATGATTCCGTTTAGCAGTGAAAGCAGGTCTAATTAAAGCTTACGGGTTTGTTGGAAGCCAGTCATGAGGCGAAACAGTTTTTGTGGTCGAAGCAATACGAGCGCCAACCGACCGGTCACACACTACGGCCAGGACTGTTTTTCTCAGTCACTAGCACAGGACACCTTCGCAGGAAACCCTTTTGCCTGGCTTTTCACTGCATGAAGGCCGATATACTGATCGGATCGAAGCATGACACGTTCAGTGCGGCTATGTGGTGTCCGGCCTCATGTCACTTCTCACAGACTAGAACGGCGTGCGTTCCTTAGGTCTTGCCATGCGGTCGAGACATGCCGCATTCATTGCGGCTGTGTTGTCTGGCTAATCGTTCACTTCCTCAACAGTGTGTGCTCTGCGATCGTAGGCACACATTGTGGCGTCTGATGTCCCATCTCTACTCCTGCCGGCAAGCAATTTATGCACACTTGGACAATTAGCAATTGGGACTCGTGCACGTAACGGTTCTACATCGCGCACCAGGAGTGCAGCCACTCCTAGCTCCAGGACCACATTAAAAAAACCCGGTACTCGTTTGTAAATCTTTTAAATGGATTTTTCGTCTCTGTCGGGATGCCAACAATGATAAATTGTAATGTAGCAGTTTTAACGGCCAGTGTTAAGCTTCTTTATAGCTTTTCAAGGCTGAGATCTAACTGGATTTCTCCCATCAGTTTGTAGTCGGACGAGACTCGGTTTGTCCCTTCTATAGCTTGCTAGACGGACTGCGCTCCGCGTCGGGAGCGTCGTGCCAGATGACTATCGAGGTCGACGAGTCCATCTTGAAAGTCCCCTCAATAGTCCCGTTCCCGCTTCAGTTTTTAAATTGCCCCACCTCCGGTCCCCATCCAAGCGTATATTGCAGAGCCAGACATGGTTGATACCTGATAAACTAAATGTCTACATTATTTGAACACAAGGGCGAAAGTTACAGACAATACGATATCAATGCTTTATGTTTTTTTTCTCTTCAAGCTCATCGATACACCGTTCTCTGTTATTCCCAAGATTGCCGATATTTTAGTGATTTAGAGTTCTCGGGATGAATCGGATAAACACACTCATAATGGATCGAAATATTTCACTCCACCACGCATGTATGTCAAGGGTGGTCAGCCACTAATTGATTAGCCGCTGGTTCATATGTTTCGCCACAAGTCTTTTTTGATTATCAACTTAGTTGTGATCTCCAAGGATTGTATAAAGAATTCGAACACCGTCCTGACGACGGTAACTGATCAGTTGCAAGAGGTACAGTCCGTTCCCTGGGCACTTTACTTGCATATGTATCAGAGCTGAGGTCAGTAGTCCTCATATAGAAAAACTAAATACACCTTAAAACACGCGAGCTAAAATACATCTGCTGGTCTACACGCGGCTTAACGGTGCACGAAAGAAGCGTCGAACGTTCCAGTGACAAACGCAGAGACCTTTCTTGTTACCAATTGTCATATTTATCTTTATTTTTATTTTTCATCTCACTGAAAGCAATTAGATTGGTGCGCATCTTGTTGCTCAGTGACTGTCCTGCAACACGTTTTTACAATCGGTGGTTCCCAGCTAGCTATCCAGCCAATGTGTCCTCGCCAGTACCGCGACGTCATAAGACGGACTATCCGCTGTAGACCGATCTACACTGGTCGCGCGAACTGGGGGCTACAGATACTTGCGGAGGGTCGACCGGGTCCCACTACAGACACGAGTTTCGTCAGAACACCGAGATCCTCTCGGATTACAAGGCTAGGTATTCCGTGATCCATAAAGGGCAACAAGACCGGCGTCTCGATGGAGCAACCTGGTGCTCGTCTTCTTGACAATGATTGCATGGCATGGAGATCGAGTCGTTCATCATTTCCGCAATACCGCATATCATGACTTGGTGCTGGCTTTCGGCTCGAATCCCAACAAGACAATCCCTACCGCTCCTATTTGAATTTATGGAGGTATGGCGATACCATTCTCCTGGCATTGAGCTAACTGCGATCCACCGCCCCCCCCCCCCCCCCCCCCCCCCCCCCCCCCCCCCCCCCCGCCCCCCCCCCCCTATGCCCCCAATAGCCTACACCGCCCCCGCCATGGGTTGACCTGGGACCTAGTCTGCCATGATGCGAGATAAATTCCGCTACGTTCTTCTTCTGAATTGATCTTTGCCGGTTAGCGGCTGCTGGTTGCCAAGGGGCTCGCTTTGGGTGCATCTCTGATGAACCTATTAACTTTTGGCGATGTGGTTTTTGTTTTCTGCGACGGGTCACCGCATTCTGAGCCTTCGTTTCCTGCTGATGAAGACCCTGTTCCTTTTCTCTTCCCCAGATCCATCTGGTTGTGGCTCCCTCCAACCGGCCTCTGCAGCCTTCTGCTACTCCTTCGCGTCGTCACTAATCGAACTCCGTTTCTTGGGCGCACTTCCTGAGGGAAGGAGGGTGTAGGGGGGGGGGGCCGTGTCCACGGGTGGACGCTTCACATTTCTCTAAGCGCCGACTTTATCAATGCGTAAATACAAAGATCAAGGCCGTTTCGCTCCAATTTTATGCTAGGGTGCATTCTGTCCATGTTAACTATGGTAGGCGTCTCCAAGGTGCTACTTTGGTTCAACGATGGGAAACATTTTTGCCATGTGATTTCCACGCTGGGCGGTCAGGTTGCGTTTTATCTCTACATACGGCTGAACAAACGGCAGCTGGCTGATAAGAGAGGACGAAGAAATAATCTAGCTATGCCAAAGGGTTTTTGCGAAGGACATTGTGAGTAAGACTAAATAATATAAATGATAGAAATGTGTTAGGCACCTCTATCCGGGAATACTTGCTTTGGGAAGATGGACGTGAGACAGCGGAAGTCCGTAGTGTAGTAATTGGACATACTGGCCAGCCTATCGCATCCGTTTCTGAATCTCATCATCATCATTACACGTTAGATGGAGGTGGAAAGGGAAAACACCTCAGCTATTGTTGCCGCCGGAATACAAGAATGAAAAGAAAAGGGAAAACAAACGGTGGCACGCCCGCCGTGAGTCCCCAATAACGGATGCGACATCGTTCCGCCCCTTTCCCCGCCCATTCCCCCCAGGAGAGGGCTTACAGCTGGCTGGCCTTAAAAGAGAAATAGTATTATGCTATGGACAGGTGAGATAGTGATTGGAGGGCGATACTATAAACAGGAGGTGGATGGCTAAAGGACTAATCACAACATAAACGCCGATTGGTGCTCACCGGCTCCGACCCATATCAACAAGTGTGTCCAACCATACGCTGGTCACCAGTCCATGTGGACCACATGCCAGGCACCGCGGATGGTGCTGTGGAGCAGGTATATAACCGGGGGGGAAGATGTAGGGTGCGCTGAGGTGTGGTTGGCACGGGTGCTTCGTCGCGTATATTGTGGCTGATAAAGCAGCTTGTGTGGCAGGTTTGTTCTGTAGTGCCAGTTGCCCGGTTGTGTGGCGGGCGGCTGTAGGGTATCTGGTCGGCGAGTCCGACGGGTAATGGCCTGTCGGGGCGAGGCCTGTCCATAAGGGTGGCCTTGTCGGGGGGATTGTTGGCTGGGGGTTACGGTTTTTTGGTGGTTCTCGGTGGGGCGTTTGTCTAGGGGGAGGTTTGGGGGATAGTGCAATGGTACTGTAAGTACGGGGGGGGTACGGTACACAGTAGGGAACAGGGACACACAGCGTTGATGTTTCGGGGTGTTTTTCTCAGTGGCCCCGGCGGAAGTCGTTGTCCCCCTAGGACTGGTGGCCATGGCGGGTTCGCGGCCGTGGCTCGGCGTGCGTCTTCACGTCTGAGCCCCCCGCCCTCAATAGCACGGACATGCTGTCGCGCCACGCGCCCCCTCCCCGTCCGCGAAGTTCGGCGCCCAAGTTGGCCTTGCGCCGCCACCTCCGTGGCGTAGTCGGGATCGGGCGAGTCGGGATGCTTGGGGTGTCGCGTGGAGTTAATGGTGTGCGGATGGCGAGTCGCGGCTTCGCGGCTGCGGCAGTATTAGCAGGGTACAGGTGCTAGTCACCGCCTCCGTGTCCCATTTCTTGCCCCTGGGATGTTAAATCGCGCTTCCGCGCCGAGGCTCGTCGCTGACGCCGCCAAGTTCGAGGTTTCCGATGTTTGGGGAGCTAGGCTGTTTCGAGCTCCGCGGGGGGGTGTGAGGGGTTAGTCGTGGGGTAGTGTGTGTTTTGAGTAGGGTGTAGTGCGGGGTCCGGAGGGGGGACACAGGGATGGTCGTGGGTTTCGGTCCTATACGGGTTTTTTTTTTATTATTGTGTCGGGTTGTTTTTTTTTGCGGATACCCTCCGCAACGATTTTCTCTTCATACTACATTCTCGGACCAAAGTCGGAAGTAAGCATTTGGTTATGAGTGGGTGTGTGAGTTTTAGTTTTCTTCGTTTTCTTAGTTCAGGGCATTTTTTTTATCTGGTCTTGTACAAGTCGGGTTAATTCCCCTTGATGAGGCGTGTTCGCGGCGAGCGTTTCGGTCTCTCACCCAGTCGGCGGAGACTTCCCGTGGTGTCGGTTCGAGGTTGTTCGGGCTGAAGATGCTTTGGTTGATTCGATCGCCGGCGCGACTAGCCAGCGGATACACTGGTTAGTTGGTTGTGTTGCGGTTCTCGATTGGACATAGATAAATTCAAATGACTTGGAACCCAGGTGGTCGCCCTCGGGGATCGGTAAAATCAGGGCTTTGTGGTTTGTGGTGTCCGCGAGTCCCCTATCAGCTTATTTCATCATTTGGCTGGCCTGCGCGCTCACTCAATAACTGTGTTAGCTGCCTAGCGAATCTTATTCGGGAAAAAAAAAAAAAATAAAAAAAAAAATAAAAAAAAGCAATAATAAAAGCGCTTTCTACCTGCCCATACGACCCTTAACCGTGTCCTTCACGTCACGAAGAAAAGAAGTTCGGACACTGTTGTGTGCTGGCCGAGGGGAGTGTAGACATCATGTGGGGGTCTGTTCTCTCCTCAAGTCGGGGAGCACCAACCGACGCCAACTTCGACAGTGTGAGGGTTAACTGAGAATTACATTAAGCACTCATACGCACAAGTTTTAAACTTGTCTACTGATGAAATGCATCTGGGCGATCAGCACGGTGTAGGCTCCCGTAATGATAACGGTGAGCGGTTACTTCATTTGTGTGAAGATGCGCGGTTATTTCTTGCGAGCACTAACTTCCGACACAGCACTCGCCGTAGAGTGACTTGACGCCCAACAGCCTCGAACCAGCATTGGACGCAAATCGATCACATTGCGATAAGTTACCGATGGAGAGGTTGCGTCCGGAACTGTCGCTCGATTTGGAGCACATGTGTGGACACTGACCATGCACCTGTATGTGCTGACCTGCGGATGCGTTTTGGCGGACGCCCACGACGACGCTGTGAGCGCATTGACATTAACCAACTGGCGAAGTCAGCTGTTCTGAATGCCTACAAAGTACGCTGACATGCGAGTTGAGTAAGCGCTCACTGGATGGAATTGGAGCTCACTGTTCTCATGTTCACTAGACCTAACTAGCAGCAGGCAACTCCTCAAGTCTAAGAGTCAACATGGACATTGGATCTCTTCTCAGTGTCTGGAACTTATCGATGCTCGCCGGCATATTCCGGCTGGAAGCGAACACAATGAAACTCGCAAAGAGCTCAGGGCGAAACTCCGTGCTAGCCTGAAGAAAGACCGCGAATCCTGCTAGTCTCTTCGTACGTCAGAGATGGAAGTAGTCGTTGCTTTTGGTAACCATCGAAAGTTATTCAGGCTGATACGGGAAACGGCCAGCAGGAGGCCTGTTGTTAGTGAAACAATTTGTGACTATAGTGGGCAGCCTATCTACAATTCGTCAAAACATTTGGAGCCTTGTGCTGAGCATTTTGAAAGGCAATTTAATCGACCGGAATTTTTCGATTTCTCACCGGCCGGTGATCGCCCTGCTCCGTGAGCTGTCCCTTTGGATTCACCCTCTTGCTCAGAATTCGAACGTGAGATCAGACTGTTCAAGTTGAACAAAGCCGCGGGACCAGATGATTTTCCACCGACCCTCTTCAAATTCGGGGGACTTGCTGTTGTTGATGATTTACACGAATTACTAATGAAACTATGGGATCAGGAGACTGTCCCAACCGACCGGAGCCGCTCCGTTATTGTTCCCATTTTTTAAGGAGGCTCGCGCTCGGAATGCGGCAACCATAGAGGAATCAGTCTGATCTCCATCGCCTCTAAATTGCTTGTCTCTGTCATCCTTCACAGACTGACTGGCGCTCGTGAAGAGCAAGCCGGGTTTCGTCGGGGTCGTGGCTGCATTGCTCACGTCTTCACTTTGTGTCAATTGTTGGATCATCGTCACATATATTGTCGGCCCACCGTAGTCGTGTTCCTTGACATCAGATGTTCCTTCGATTCGGTTGATCGATGTGCACTTTGGGGCTGTCTGCTCAGAAAAGGTTTGCCCGAGCAATATATAAATATCATCTACACATTATACACGCGTAGCACGGGCAGAGTGAGGGCTTACGACAAGCTGTCTTCTCCCTTCAGTATCTCCAGCGGTGTGAGACAAGGATGCCCGTTGTCACCTTTCATCTTCAACTTTGCTTTTAACAACGTCATGGAGGTTGCTTTCACAGTTTACGACTTAAAAGTGTGGATCTGCTCCCAGGAGAATGACTTCTTGACTTGGAGTATGCAGACGCTATTTCCCTCATTTGACAGCTCCCAGACGTGTCAACGGCACTGGACAGATTAGCACTGGCTGTTCGTCGCTTCGTGCTTTGCTCTGCACTATCGAAGTGCAATGCTTTCCTCCATGATTGGCCTGGAACGCCTCCTGCGCTAACCCTTGGTGGGGATCAGCTAGAGGTCGTTCAAAAATTCAGCTACGTTGGAAGTTGTATCAGCGCCCGTGGGATTGAAGATGTGATCACGAACTGTATAGCTCTGTGTTATGAGTTCCTTTGTCCACCCCCTCCTGCCTAACATCCCCCGCCAATCACGATCTCACTTGTTTTACGGCAGCCAGCTGTTAGCTCTCCGGAACGATGTCTATCCGTTACTGGGGACTCAGCGGGCGTGCCACTGTTTGTTTTCCTTTTCTTATCTTTTGTATTGCTGCACAATAGCCGAGGTGTTTTCCACCTCCAACTAACGTGTAATGATGATGATGATAGCAAAAGCTCGGGGCGCTTTTGCTAATCTTCGCTACTTATGGCGCCGGCGCGACA